CACCCCCACCCCGATCCCCACACTCCCGGATCCTGCCCCATCCCTCCCCAACCGTTCCGTGCCGAGGTTTCTCAGCAGGATCCGTGACTCACAGCCCTGTGGTTCCCCCTCGGGGGGGGCCAGGACACCCCACCCCGGCCCAGCCCCGCGGTTTGGCAGCAGGAGGGGGGTGTGGATGCCAGCCCGGCCCTGCCCAGCCCCCCCCCGGCCCCCCCCAACTCGCCTCTCGAACTCTGCCCGCAGCAGCTTCTCCCTCTCCAGCACGGCCACGTGCAGCCGCCCCCACTCCTTCTCCACGTCCAGAGGGTGGTACCCGGGGGGCACCTTCAGCTGTCCGGACTGCACCGCGCCCTGTGCACCCCAAATGTCACCTGAGGGGTGTGCCCGGCACTGCCACGGGACCCCCCCACACCTTCAGCTGTCCCTGTGCACCCCCAATGTCACCTGAGGGGCGTGCTGGGCACTGCCACGGGACCCCCTTGGGACCACCCCACACCTTCAGCTGTCCCTGTGCACCCCAAATGTGCCCTGAGGGGCGTGCCCGGCACTGCCAGGGGACCCCCCGGCACCATCCTCCCCTTGGGACCCCACCCGCAGGATTTTCATCCCCTTGGGGCACATCCCCAGATTTCTCCTGGCTGCTCGGGACCCCCGAGAGGGTCTCCCCCTCCCCTCCCCACCCTTGGGATCCCGAACATCCAGGACCCACCCCCACCCCTCAGGACCCCACCCCCAAGCCCCGCCCCAGCCCTGGGTACCTCCAGCGCCTGGAAGATGGATTTGGAGCGGTTCTTGTCGGCCTCCCGAGCCGGCAGCTCCGTCTCCTTGAACTTGAGGAACTGGCGCCAGAGGATCTGCGGGGTGGGGGGCACAGCTGAGCGGGGACCCCCCCCCAGCCGCTGCTGCCCCCTCCCCTGCAGTTTTCCACGGTGCAGAGCCGAGGGAAGGAAGTGGCCGAGCCGGCAGCGCCAGCGGTGACTCAGGGCACAGCCGGGGGGGGATGAGTCAGAGGGGCCCCCCCGCCATGGGACACCCGGCTCCGGCACGGCTCGGAGCCCCCAGAGCCTGCAGACCCCCGGACTGGCACCGGTGGGGGCTCTGTGCCCGTGCCAGGCCAGCAGCAATGTCCGTGGGTCTGTCCCTGTGTCCATCCCTGTGTCTGTGCCAGGCCAGCAGCAATGTCCCTGTCCTTGTGTCCATCCCGGGCCAGCAGCACTGTCCCTGTCCCTGTGCCAGGCCAGCACTGTCCCTGTCCCTGTGCCCATCCCCATGCCAACACTGTCCCTGTCCCTGTGCCAGGCCAGCACTGTCCCTGTCCCTGTGCCCATGCCAGGCCAGCACTGTCCCTGTCCCTATGCCAGACCAGCAGCAATGTCCCTGTCCTTGTGTCCATCCCGGGCCAGCAGCACTGTCCCTGTCCCTGTGTCCATCCCTGTGCCCGTGCCAGGCCAGCAGCACTGTCCCTGTCCCAGGCCAGCACTGTCCCTGTCCCTATGCCAGACCAGCAGCACTGTCCCTGTCCCTGTGCCAGGCCAACAGTGCTGCTCCTGTCCCCATACCCATGCCAGCACTGTCCCTGTGTCCATCCCTGTGTCCATCCCTATGTCCGTGCCAGGCCAACACTGTCCCTGTCCCTGTGCCCATCCCCATGCCAGCACTGTCCCTGTCCCATGCCAGGCCAGCGCTGTCCCTGTGCCCATGCCAGGCCAGCACTGTCCCTGTCCCTGTGCCCATGCCAGGCCAGCGCTGTCCCTGTCCCCACAGCCACAGCGGTGCCCTCACCTCGATCTCCTCGTAGCTGGCCGGGAGGCGCCGCTCCTCGAAGAGCGCCGAGTGCTGGCGGCTCCACTGCAGCAGCCCCGTCACCACCTCGTAATACTCCTGCCAGCGCAGCTGCAGCTCCTGGGGAGGGAGGGGACACGTGTGGGGCTGGCAGTGACGCTGCACCGGGGTGGCAGCAGCACGGGTGACCCCTGTCTTAGGTCGCAATACAGGACGTGACCAAAAGTTTGTGTTCTGTCACCACC